TCCAGTCTTTCCTATTTATTTTGTACCAGATTTATTTGTATATTTTGTGATTTTGTTTAAAAGCATTTTGTTTATTTCTATTCTTTTTAGATAAATGATGATTTTTTTTTTCTGTTGAACATTCAGTTTATGCATTTTTCCCTCCTCCATGCTCCCCCCTCATTTCCAAGGGACGGATTTTGGCATGCGGGTGGTGGGGCTGATGTCGGTGATCCTGGACCCAGATCTCTGCTATTGGCACATCAGCGGTCTTTAACCTCCACGTCAGCTGTCAAGAACCACGGAGAGGCCGGATCCTGTTCCCCTTAGAGCCAGGTCTTGGTCTTCGCTTTGGTGGGTCTGGGCCCGTAAGTCCTTGAGGCGGGGAGGGCTGTGCCGGTGGTTTTGCTGACCAGGAGCTGGGAAGCTGGTGCCAACGGCAAGCAGCTGACATTCTCTTTCTGAAGCTCCCTCAAGGGTGAGGGCATTTTTCTTCCACTAATAAAACCCCCTTATTTACAACCTGCTCTCCACAGATCATGTTTGTTTGTCCGGGAGTGTAGATGCCGTCCGTCTGTCCATAGCTCATGTTCCTGCCAGGCGGTGCGTGACTGGGGTTGCCAGCGAGGGCCGTGGCTGGTGGTGACGGCGGCTCCGTTGGACAGGAGTCGCTGGTGGAGCGAGTCCGTCCGTCCCCCCGCCTTAGGTGCCCCTGCCTGCTCCCCTGGCGTTGGCACTTCGGCAGCAGAGTTGTGCGGAGCCTGCAGGGACTAAGCTGTGCTTAGTCCCCTGCCCAGCATCACTTCCAGCTCCACGTCGGCGGAGTAACAGATGACCTTTTTCCTGCGTGCCAGATACAGCCCTGCCGTGCGCCCATTTTGTGCTTCTGCCATCCCTTCACCCCTGTCCTCCTCGCAGCTGTTTCACCCAGCTGCTCTCCCTGCACTGGGCTTTCTTCCTTGCTCAGCTCTTGAGCTGCTAAACCCTGGGTTAGCGAGTTGGGCAGTGTCTGCTCAAGACTTGTGGGGGGTTTTGCTGCACCTGGTGCAGCCTGTCCCTGTTCCTGCGCTGCAGGGTGGCCCCATGCCCCTGGACCTCGCTCCCCAACGTCGTATCAGCAGGACGGGGAGAGTGGCAGGTCCTGTGAGGACTTCTGCTCCCCTGCGTGTGCCTGTTCCTGGCAGCGGGTGGAGGATGGTGGGATGCTGCAAGCAGGATGTAAGTAAAATTAGTGCTAAGGCAAACTTCGGGGCTGGCTCTGACAGTGAAGAGCAGCGGGAAGGAGGAGCAGGGCAGGAGAGCCCGGGACTCCTGGAAGGGAGGGTGTGAGAAGCCAGGTCCCCGCAGGGAGGCGGGATGGGTGTTGGCTGCCCAGGTCCAGGCTGCGCTGTGGCAGCGGGGTGGGAGCAGCGCCCAAAGCGAAGGCAGCTGCACCTGGGGCTCTGCGTCCTCGAGGCTCTAGCAGCACCCGGGCTGCCTCCGCCCTCCCTGCGTGGCTGGGCCCCGCGCCGCTGCAGCAGCAGGATGGGACCCCCAGCGCTAATGGCCAGTTCTCACATACCGTGTGAGTCATGCTCAAGGTCACCTTTTGTACCTACAGGTTGTTAAGGCCTGGTAGACCATTCGCCACCCACGCTGCCACTGCATCGCTCTGAGTGCCTGGCCAGCCCTGCGCTCCTGCTGCACGCTCTGCAGCCCAGCGGGCCCCAGGGCCGTTCTGCTGGAGGTGAGCACCCTCGTGCAGGGCTAGGGTGGGCTGGTGGCTCTGCACCTACAAACTTGCCTTGTCAATGCACGCCACAGGTGGCTGGGGCTTCAGGTGCCAAGCTTGCAATAGCTGCTGCTCAGGGACTGGCAGCAGGGCTTTGCACCTCCATCATGGTTAGGCATACCCTGATACTGGATTTGTGCTTCAGCGGCAGTGGGCCCTCTCTCTGCTGAGAGAGGAGATGGTGTAGAGGAAGAGGAGCTGGGAGCATCTCTGGTTACTTTGACCTATTCAGAAGTACTTGCTGGCAGCGCCCAACACAGAAGGTCTGCAGGGCTGTGGCTAAGGGCAGTGAGCCTTGGGCTCCTGTCCCTGGTAGAGTTTGCTTGATGCAGCCACTGTGAGCCCCTCCGTCTCTGCGGAGCAGTGAGGGTGGGCGTGTGGTGTTGGAGAACGTGGGAGAAATGAGGTCAATGAGAGCTCAGGGTGGGGGGGTGAGGCCTGTCCCCGGTGCTCGCCTTGCTCCCACCGGGCTTTTGCTGCAGATCCTGCTGCCGGTGGGCCACAGTGTGCCCGTGCCTTGGGGCGGGGGAATGGCTGCGGGCAGAGCGGCGGGAGCCTCGCAGCAAAAATGGGGGGGGGGAGGGGCGGCGGGCAGAGCGGGGGGAGCCTCGCAGCAGCTGCGGCTCACGCTGGCTGTTCCTGGGGGCTCCACAGAGCCAGTTGGAGACACCGGTACTGCCGGGCCACTGGCTTCCTGGGAGCAGCAGCTGGTGCAGGCCAGAGGTGCCGGCAGCTGCCTGCCAGAGGTGTGGGCAAGAAAACTGGGCTGTGGCCATGTCACCTGTGCCAGCCGGGGCACAAGGTTTCACCCTGGCCCTTGCTCGGTGGTTTCTTACTGCAACACCATCGCGGAGCCAGCAGAGGATGGGCAGAGTGTCACAAGGCCGGGCAGCGAGCAGTGCCTGTGTGTCCATCAGGCTCTGCCTGCTGCTTTCCCACCATCAAGTGAGGGTCAAATACTTTCCATTGCTCCAGTGTTGAAGAGTCTTCTCCCCATCGCAGTCAGAAATAGCCCTGGGCTGGGAGTGAGCTATTTGTGGCGACCGGTTAGGAAGGAGGAATGCACGGAGCTCCCCAGACCTCCCTTCCCGCAGCCGCATGCCCTCCCCAGCTGCTGAGCTAAAGCCTAAAAAATTCAAGTGGCTATACTTGGAGAAATGATGTTTAAACATAGCAAAGCCCAGCATGGCCTTTAGTGAAAGGGCTCGGGAACAGCTCCCTCAAACCCTTCCTGCAGCCAGCCTTGCTGTGAGTACGCATTAGCTGCTCTCCAGACCCCAAAATCAAGGGGTCAGGGACCCAGTGCTGGGTTTGAGGCTTTTAGGAAGTCCTGCAGTGTCGGCTGTTGATTCTTGGCCACCATCTGCAGCCATTTAGTGTTGCTTTTCTGTTTGGCACTTTGGGCCCTGGGTGTTGAATATCCTCCCAGCTCTGATGGTGGGGCTTCATCTGGTCTGGTTTGGTGAGGGGTTTGTTTACAGGCGAGGGCTGAGCACAGCAGTGTGCTGTCCCCAGGGCTGCCCCTGGCTTGGCCGGCCTCTGGCTGGGCCCGCCAGTGCTGTCGCTGTGGCAGCACTGGCCTTCCCCAGGTATTTTTCTGTTTAACCAGGTTTGCAGCTCCTGGTGAGCGTGGGCCATGCTGTGCCACCAGTGCCACCCTGGGCACGGGTCATGCGTGGTGGGGAGTGGCCCTTGGTAATGCCTGTAAGCCCTGGTAAGGTGCAATGTTGGAGGTAGTGGCAGGGTAGGGGTGTTGCCCTTCCCGCCATGGAAAAGCCCCTCCTTGCTCTCTCAGTTCAGGCCAAAAAGTTTCTCTGTCTCCCTGTGCCTCCCAGCTGAAGCCGATGGGGATAACAAAAGCCTCATGCCCCTGTTGCTTCCTGCCCACCTGCTCCCTGGGGACCAGACAAGCCCTTAAAGCCAGATGCACAGCCACTGCTCGGCAATGCTTCACACAACCAATTCCCGGAGATGCTTTCCCTCTTCCTCAGTCACCCATCCTGCTGGGATGCCCACAGACCAGTCCCGGCTCTTCCTGCCACCTCCAGCACAGCCCTCAGCATCTCAGCGACGCGCCACAAACTGCCAGGCATTTCTTAGAAACATCATCATTTATTGACTTGAACAACTGCCACTACAGCAGCAGTGTTTCCTGCTCAGATGTTGGTGGTGTGGTTTTTCTTCTTTTATTTTCTCCTAAGATACTTTAAAATGAAAAAAAAAAAAGATTAAATGAGTTTATGGGACTGAAACAACAGTCGAATTCGTTACAAGAGGGCCCTCGTTGTAATCCCTTCACAGCGAACGGCACAGGCTGGAGTAAGGGAGGCTGCACCCATGACACGGAGGAAAACCGCAGGGCACTGCTGCCCAGCTGCGTGCCGGCCCCGTGCCTTCCCCAGGCTGGCTTTCAGGCACAAGGACCGCTTGTCCATCCCTGTGGGGCAGCCCTGGTCCCCGCACAGCAGCCTGCAGCAGTCACCCTCCTTGGCCGGGGACGCAGCCTTGCCCACCGCAACCTGTGAGGAGGCTCCGCTTGCTCCGTGCCAGGCCAAAGACAAGGGCAGCTGCCAGACAGACTGGAGTTTCCCAGCTCCCACCGCGGGGCTGGCCCTGGGGTATGTGCTGTTTCCTAGTTTAGGGCAGACACGCGTGGCCCGCAGCACCCTGGAGTAACAGGCCCTTTCATTCCCGATGGTAGCTGGGTTTGTCTTTGGGATGCTTCACTTTCTTAAAGCTGAGAGGACAGGAAGGTCAGTAATAGGCAGTGGGAAAACAAACGGACTAACATAATGCTAAAGCAGTAGCTTCAAGCTCCTGGGTTAATATTTACTGCTGAAACGACAGGAGTTGAGAACACAGTGTGCGGCTCAGCTGTTTGAGAAATGCGTTGGAAATCATGCATCACATGCCGATGATGAAAGAGAGCTTTGAAACACTGGGGGAGTTTCAAACAACAAGCGTCTACAAGCTGAAATGTGTACAGCTGCAGATATGCAAGAGCTGGAATCCCACTGCCAGCCGTGACGGCCAGAGGAACTGAACCACTTACACAGAGAAACTCACGCCAAGCAAAGAGTAAATTGAGTGCTGGAAGCCACAGCAACACCCTGGCTAACACGGGGAGGGGGGTTTTTGTAACCCAGAAGCAGAGGGTTAAGGGCAGCAACCCAACGGGCACGAGGATTTGGATCATTTTGTGTCCTGCAGGGCCCAGCACATCCCTTCCTTCTCCACAGAAAATGTAACAAATGGCAAAAACCGTTCACAGGACACCATTCAAATGAAAATCAAATGAAACACATCATGGGAAAGGGAGAAACATGCAGCATCCCTAAATGTAATGGGAGCAGCATGACAACGCAGGCGGGCAGTCCAATCTGAATGCACCACCCAGGCAGAATCCATCAGCTTTGTGAACCGTCTGCAAAACTGAAAACAAGGGTCTCCTCCTAATTAGTGTTAATTTGTTAAAAGTTTCCGGACACTTTCAAAATGTGCCTTTGCAAGAATCACACCCCCCCAACCCATCACCCCAAGGGCCCCAACAAAGGAATCCTCTCCTGATCACTGCTAGAGTCATGGTTTGTCTTCAGAGATGCTTTGCTTTTTCCTTCTTATTCCTCTTCCTCTTCCTCCTCTTCTTCCTCCTCTTCCTCTTCCTCATCGTCATCTTCATCATGGCAATGTGTGATTTCCTGAGGTGCCTGGGGGAAGAGGTTGGGCGGTTTGATCTCACTGATGGAGCGGGTCAGTTGATGCCGCTTGTAGTCAGAATCTTTAAAATCCACTGAGGTGCGATTACGCGTGGCCATCGGCGACTCCTTCTCATTGATGTCGACGTGCGTGTGCTCTACCGTGGACTCGTGTGGCATCTACACATGTAAGAGAGAGAGGAGATGGCAAAGGGTGTCCCAGTCCCAGGGTATCTCCCTGAGACAGATACAGAGCAAACCCCAGAACGTGACCCTCTTTGGCCCATGGTGCATCAAATGCCACCCAACCCTCCAAGGTGCCATTCCTGGTGCTTGCGGCTTGTGGAAGTGTTAAGAAGCGCAGACACCTTTGGGACCCACCTCCCCGGAGTCTGCAACTCACCAGGACGTGGGCGGCTCTGAAGAGGTAGCTGAAGGGGTAGTAGAGGAGGTTGATGAAGGAGGCTGCATAGAGATCAGCGTAGCGCATCACCTGGCTGGCAAACAGGGTCTGCCGAGAGCCGCTGCGGAAGAGGCTCCCCATCATCCCGTAGCACATGTCCATGTCGTGGGTCACTTTCTACAAGCAAAGGGCAGGTCAGATCCTGGGCCGGGCAGGCAGCAGCGCGGAGCCACGACAACACTGAATTGGAGCGCACTGAGGGCTGGGGGCTACGTGAGATCTGCAAGGATCTCCAGCAAGGCTTTCGGTGCTCATATCCCGCGGCATCAGAGCACAGCCGAGTCCCAGCTAACAGAGGGGAAGGCAGCAGCGAGCTCAGGGCCAGCACCTGCCCCAGGCTGGCACCCCAGGGCTGGCTGAACCAGAGGCTACGGCCCCTCCAAGCTTGTGTGTGCCAGCACCCCATTCTGCAGCAGTGAGCACTGTCAGTCAGTGCTGCTGCGTGCATGAGGAAGGAGACCCTATTCCAGACCAGGCTGCCTTTCAGGAGTGCCGGTGACACCAGTGAGCTTAGAAGCTCCTCCGTTTGCATCCACAAAGACACAACGGCTTTGCCAAGCCTGCCGAGCCCACCCAAAGGCAGAGCAAAGCATTTCAGGGCTGAGCAGTGGGGTTGGGTTGTCAAGCCTTTTGGGATCCAAAAGGATGAAAAGGGATTTTTATGATTGGTACCTTAATGCGTCTCTGGATGGAGCTGATGTCAGGGCGTTCATTGCTGCTACTGTCCAGATGCCTAGTTACAGGCGAGAAGGTAAATACATGGTGTGAAAAGCCTTTCAGAACCAGATGCTGTGGGATGGGGGCTCGGGGGCGGGAGGCTGGTCTGGAGGGGAAGGGTGGTCTCGTGGGCAGAGCCCAGGCCTGAGTCAAAGCTCCGGCAGCAGTGCCGCTAACCCAACCCCAAGGTTTCGTCAGAGCCGCTCGTTAGCTGTCGCTAGGCTGGGAGAGGCAGCAGGAAAGTTGTCACTGTTTGAACACTCACTTGTATAGCTCGGCCAAGAAAATGTCCAGGCTCTGCAGCTCTTCAAAAAGGGCTGGAAAATCCAGAAAAGAAAGGGGAAAAAGGTAAGTTTAAACTGTTGAAATGAAGAGGGCTGAAAGCAAACCCACCATCCTGCCTGTTCCCCTTGCATGGCGGTGGAGGGGCACTGCATCAAGGAGCATGGCATCTCACGGCCACTGTGCAGACAGGGTTCAATTGCGCTCTGTGCCACTGGCAGAGCTTTGGGCTTGGTTTCTGGTTGCCCCTTTCGTTTTTGAGGCTGAACCTTCACAGCCCTCACCAAAACCTTCCAACCAGCCATGGGGTAATTTGCATAACCCCCAGACCTATTTACACACCAAAGGGCAAACCTGGGAGAAAAGCAGTAGCGCTGGAGGATGGGAAACACACAGCACTTTGGCAGCAGAGCAGCAGAGGGAGCGGGAGGAAGGAGGAGGAAGCAGCTGGTGAGCAGGGACTCCCTGCGGATGGGAGAGCAGTCATGGCTCAGGCATTACAGGGAGAATAAACCAGGTGTCTTGTCAGATACTTTTTACCAGAGAAGCCTCAGCTCCGTACGGGCAGAGGGAGAGGAGTTTTTGGGGCAGGATTATGGATGAGGAACAACTCAACCCCACCCAGCTGCAGCTTCTCTCCCGGTGAAGTCAGCGCTGGGCTGATCACGCGCAAGCGGCCTGGGAAAGAGCGCACGAAAGGCCTGGGATCCCAAGGCCAGCCCACGGAGAGCTGCCCCAGCTCCTGCCACCAACACCCAGACCGAGGGAAAAAGGGCCAAAAGGAGAAGTGACAAGCCAAGGTGATCTCTCCCCTGCACCCCTATGCCCTGGCGATCTCAGGGCTGCAGCACCAGGCAAGCAGGAGCAAAGCCTGGCCTGGGGTTTGCCCAGCTGCTGACCGCTTTTGTCTGTCCAGACATGCAGCTCCTGTGCCAGCTCGGGGATCACCAGGAAGGTCCTCCAGCCCTGGCGCTTCTTGGATTTGAGGATGTCTCCAAAGATATGGTCTCCGATGTACAAGATATCCTTCCCTTTGGCCCCCAGAAGGTCACAAACTGTGTCCGAAGAGCCTGAGAGAAGAATAGCATGGCTCAGAATGGGGAGCCAAAAGGAAACGTGGCTCATTTCAAAGGGCCAGGGTTAGGGACAGAGTAGGTGGCATTTTCCTCCCAGAAACCTCCACTGCTAAACGTAGCACCCCTGCTTGGCCATGGCAGCACAGGGCACAGCGCACACACCTGGGAGTTCACCCAGGGCCAGCTTTGCCCACACACCCCCCCACAAAAATGGCAGCAGCAGAGGGGCCATGCTGTCTCTCACCCCATGTGAGAGTAATGGTGCCCTGGGTATCACAGACAGCCCTGTATATCCACCTGCTGCCGTTCCCTGGCTCAGGGGACCCTCCAAGCGTGGTCACACTGGTGGCAGTACTGGTGGGAACATTGCATTGGGCCAGCTGCAGCTCTCCCTCCACCACAAGCCCTGCAGTGGCATTTCCCAGACCCTCCTGGCAAGGAAGAAAAGGGCATTTGAGGCGGAACGAGTCCATTTCTTCCCTACATTGGGCAGCAATGATGATGGAGAGCTTCTGGTGCAGTGTGCAGAGGGCACAGTACAATGTGCTTTGGGAAACACAACCTTGCCTAGAGCCTGACACAAGTCCTCTCACAGCTGGAGTGGCTGAAGGCCACGGGGGCACATCAGAGCCACTCCACAGGACAAGAAGGGTTCTTGCCTCACCTCCTGAGTACACGATGCCATGCTGCAACGGGCCAGTGTAGGTACCAATCTTCAGCTTCCCAGTCACCTGAGGATAGAGACATTGCGGTAGTACAGAACAGCTGATGGATGGTCTGGATCTTTTCTGTCCTATTGATACTTTACTCTTTGTCTCTCTCGCACTCCCGGGCAGCCTAGAGGTGGCTTTCCACATTCTTTTCCTATTGGCACCTGCAGTACGTTAGGGAAGCCAGCAAAGCCTCAAGCTCTGCTGTGCCCCAGGTGATGGGGTTGCTCAGGAATCTCTAAGAGGAGGAGCCAGCCCACCGTCTCTAGGGCAGGTCCTGTCTAAACACTATGTTGCTTGTTGCCACTAAGAGACGCCACACAGGAGGTGCATGAGCCCTTCCAGCCGTAGAGGTACTCTCCATATGCCACTCACCGTGTCCACCTGCCGCAACACGGTGCCTTCCCCAAAGAAGAGGGGTTTTCGTGCATCCACCAGGATCAGGTCAAAGTAGGACTGCCATGGCCGATGGGCACTCCCAGGCTGCAAAGGCAAAAACAAACCCCAGAATTAGGCACAACACAATCAACCACAGGGAGTTTAATCGGAGTGTCATTGTCCATAGCCATAACCTTGTGACATTGCCGGTCCATCAAAATCCCCTAGCTCATGCCTCTTGTGGTATAATGCTGGGTTGTCAGCACCATGTCCTGAAGCACTCCCCTTTTGCAGCAAGCCCATCCCAACCCAGCCTAGCAGTGAGGACTGAGGATGTGGTGTGAGACAGGAGAACTGCACTGAACATCCATGTCACAGCACAGCTGTCGTGTAAAGAGATGTTGTAAATGACACTGCTGCCGCTGTTTCTGAAGGTGACATCCTGCGCAGATCCAGACACATGCGACTTCACGCCTTCAGCCTTACAAAGCCATGCTGGTACATTTGCCAAGAGTAGGAAAATGCCTGGACTCTATTCCACAGAGCACGGCTTTGAATCACAGCCCTGCCCGAAGGACACTGGGCATTCATGAGCCCTTTCTGCTCCACTCTTTCGCTCCTTCTGAGGTCAAGACCACAGCAAGGAGTTTTTTGAGCTATCAGTTCTGGTGATTTTCTATGTTCTGAAAACTTCTCCCTTAGCTGCCTTCTACCTTTAGAGCACAGTGTGAAAACACATCTTTGGAGCGTGAGATAGCCTCCCACTGGGAGATTGAGAAAGCAGTATAAATTCAGCTCATAAGCCTCTCTCCAAAAGTGGCAGGGCTGAGTTTTGACCTCAGAAAACCAGAAAAAGCTTGACTAAAACTTTTGGAGTTACCACAGTCAAGGCACAATCAGCCATAAACGTTTCTGCTGTTTTATAAAATTCTTTCCTTTCCATCAAGGTTTTTTTTTAACAACATCTAAAACATTGTGCAAGATTTATAAGAAACCTGGCTGCAAAATGCCACAGTTAAAATGTGTTATCACTAAAATAATGTTATCATTAACACAGATTATTGTTTGAGACCAGATGATGCCTCTTTTCTCTTTGTTATATTGTATTTACTTTGATCCCATTCAAATAGGACACAAAACAGCAAGTGTATTTTAACCAGATTAAAGCAACTAATCCCATGCAGCCGATGAAGCAGGATTAAAATGCTTTCCAGCTACACAGATAATTAGGCACATCAGTTTCTATTGGAACTGCAGTCTAGAAATCACATACCTTTGGTCCATGTGGAAAGTCAAACAAGTAAGTCATAATTTTCTGAAAGACAGAAAGTATTCAAAGATGCATTTTTAAACATACATTTGTGTAGTTCATAAAAGCATACTTTTCTGCTTTTATCTTTTCAGGTTACAGAACTTTATTTTCAGGATTTACACAAAAGTCAGCATAAGATTTGGAGACAAAATGAATGGATGGAATTTAAAGTGACAGGAATTAAATCAGTAATTTTTATAATCAAAGAACACATTTGCCTCAGAAATCTGCACACTGCTTCAGGTATATCTTGCAATGCTTTAAAATGGCATATAAATCTTTGCATTAGCAGTGTTGCAACATCCTGAGTTCAACAACCTGGAGTTGAAGTTACCGCATTTATTTCTACAGCACAGCAGACAGCCCATTTACCTGGAGTTGAAGTTACTGCATTTATTTCTACAGCACAGCAGACAGCCCTTTCTGGCTATTAGACCTCTCCAGGACGATGGCTTTGGTGACCTGTCTGTACTCAGACTATCTCACTTGAAAGGGAAGTTCTGCATTTTAAAGGATACTGAAATCTAAAATGAGTATTACCTTCTCTTTCAGCCTTTTAATTGCTGAGGAACTGAGTGAGGCACAGAGGGACAAAAGCCAGGCCCATACTAGGTCAGTAGCAGAACCAGGACTACAAAAGATGACTCAAGACCTAATCTGCATTCACCACTAAACCATCCTACACCCAGCTTAGAAAACACCCAATCCTCCACCAGAAGATGTCCTACGAAAACCCATACAAATGAATGGGTGGCTCTCGCTTATTCCATCATATACCAACACAACAATTCAAGCAGCACTTACATCTGTGTATTTATAGTCACTGTTTGTGACGAGAAACACCTTCCCAACTTCATTCATGCGGCTGAGCAGCAGTGGCAGCTTCCCCTGAAAGCCAAGGGACATACAAGTCACACACAAAAGTTACAGAGATTCATCATGGGCAAAACACTCTCACCTTTGATCCCACCGGACAAAACAAAGCAAATCAAACCATCAAGCAAGCAAACTCACGTGTTTTGCACTGGCCAGAGCCAGGAAAGCTGCTGGTCCGTCCAACTAACACCCCTCCAGAGCACAGCCCAGGGGAGGAAGGCAAGAGGGAAAGGCTCAGCAGGGCTGCGCTGCCTTTGCCAACCACAGTGCCAGGCACCCTGTGCTGCTCCCACCGATCTGCTCCATGCCAGGCATGCTGGAGCAGCTCCTCCAGCTCCAAGTCCATTCCCGAAATGGGCCCAGAGGCAGGTGAAATCTGAGCTCACACGAGCCACAAGTTGGAGCGCATTACAATTCCAACCTCAAATTAGGGAGAATTTATTCCTGGGGCTATTTTTATTGAATCATAAATCTCAGTCGATTGCCAGAGTAGCTGATTACCTCACAGAATGGTTTCCTAAGAATTTTGCAGGCATGTAACTAGAAACAAGGTTAACTGCTTTAAAGTGATACTCTACCACAGAGCTCATCTAAACTAAAGAGTAATTATACTGTAGGTGGTCCAGAGGGGCCTTGCACACTGCAGAGAGGGCAAAAGTAAGGGAACCACTGAAGCTTGCTCAATTAGATGTGCTGAACACACATTTTGGGGCTATCAAGAGACTGGACATTGGTCAATCTTTCAGGACTTTTCCCTCAGTCCCTCATGGTTAAATGCATCTAACATGTTTGTTGAATGGCTAAGGAATACTGTCTAAAAAGATGCTCATCTGTTGCTTTTTAAAAAGAGGTCTGCTTGGGCAGAGAAAATGTGGGCAGGGAACACAGTTGCTTTCACCACCAAAAGAAACAACACGGGCCCTGCCAGCGTATTCACCTGTGTCCCATGATAACATTTCCTCTGGCTTTTATATTTTACGTAAAAAATGTGCACGTGAATACAAAATCATGTGGATCACTGGCTCAGAATAAAGGCTGCATCCGAACTTTCCACTTTGTCTTTGGTTATTACAATAGAAATCACTGCGTTATCTGTTTTGTGATTTAGTAAAGCAAATCAGCATGTTTATTTCTTGCCTGCTTACTCAGTACAGAATGTCACGTAGCCCAAGTAAAGTAACTTCACACTTACATCTTTCACCACATACTTTTCCAGATTCTCAAGGGTCTTTTCCTTGAGCGATCCCTGAAATAGAAACAACAGAACCCAGTGAGGTAATGGAAACTTATGATATAAGAGACATCAAAGTAATGCCAACTTTCACACTTTAAAATGCTGTGAAAGTACAAACCAGGGCGAATCTGAACCAGTGACTCTAGAGATGAGAGGCTTTGAGTAGCAGGGACCATCACAAACTCTGTGATCCATCGATTCCCTCACCATGGTAAATAATCCACTTCAACAGCATTTTAACCCTTTCAGAAGGGAATACAATAGAAACAAACAAAAAATAGATTTGCCATACCAAACAAGACAGTCAATGACCTGTCTCCAACACTGACCATAATGCTTTACTCAAAGGCCAACTCCAACATGTATCACACAACACTGCATAAGGAAAGAAAAATAGATTCCTGACTTCTGCATGGCTAAAAGGACCACCACAAGTACAACTGTGAGCAGAGTTCTCCTGTGATGGTTCTCCATCCCACCCCAACAGACCTCTTGAATGAGGAGGAACAAGAAAATCAGGTCTTTAACCAGATGTTAATGCTCACAAAATTACATTTGAAATTTGTGCACAAGTGTGCGAAAAAGATGAACTGCCTTTCCTCTCTAAATAGAAAAGAGTTGTTGTATTGCTCTGTTTAATGCAGGTACTTTTCAGACAACTTAAGATAGTACCACTGCAAACCATTTACAGTAAAATGCTGTTTTAATAATTAGGACAATGTACAAGTTGTGGACTTTAAGTGCAAATACCCTCATGGCATCACATTCTAAAACCCGTGAATTACAGTCCAGAAATGGAATCTGGGCACAATAAAAAGGAATAGGAAGCCAATACAGATACGTTCCAGTACTAGGAGGGCAGTCTATACCTTGACTTAGATACAATTGCAATTTATTATTTGCTCACTAGGCGGCAAAGCAGGGCTCTTGCCCAAAAGTGGAATAACACATCCTAACTCATGAGTTGCAAACCAGTCCCTCTAACTCAGTTGGAGTGGGACTCCTGGAGTTCTTGCAATCACCTTGTAATGAACCCAGTCAACAGCATCTCTGACATCCTGGAACATACTCCTGAAGGACATGAAGAGGTCTCCATCTTTAAACCCCGTTTCACAGCTGTGAGGAGAAAGAAGAGAGATTGTAGCCGCCAATCGCAGCAGGTAAGAAACATCAAGGAGAGAGACAGTTCAAAATGTTGTTTGGAGCTTGTGTTTTCATCTTACCATAATGGTTTCTTATTTACTATTTTACCGTGGCTCAGTCTTGAAAGAAGGCTACAACCAGAGTTTAATAGGATCTGCATGTTACCCAAGAACATTTGTTTAAAATTTTAGGATGTGAGTTCCTAACTACGGGCCTGTGCCTCCATAGCAGTACTACAGCTCTCTGTGACTGCAACTCTCATTCCTCCCCCACAGTATTACAAGAAGGAAAAAAGACTGGGACGGTACAGTTTGCAGCATTTTACAAAAGATGAATGGTAATGAGAACGTAAGCAGAGTGCTGCTCTTTCTCCCTCTTTCCAACGTTAAAGAAGGGGGTGCCATGGAAATCAACTAAATGTAATACTTGCTGCTGAGAGGAAGAACTACTTCTGTATTGAACAGTTAGAGTTAACATGAGAAATTTCCTCTACAAGATACTGTGGAGGTATCTTTGAGACAGCCATGAGAGTATGCATCAGAAGAAATCAAGGAGGATTAAACAGAGCTGTATTTATTATGACAGCAATCATCACACCTGTCCTGAGAAAGGATACTTCACCTGATGGATTGTCAGCATAAACAGTTCCTCTGCTCCCAGGTAAAGTCCCATCAAACCTTTGCCTTCCACTCACATAATATGCAAAGATGACCCATCACATGAGTCAGCAGCACAGCAGCATTCACATTTGCCAGCTCAAACCGCAGCTTGTTTTTATGCTTATACCTATTTGAAAGCTAAGTAAATATTCATGCTACACAAACAGCCTTTTACACCACACTGTGCCCGAGCATTTCACCTTTAAGTGAACAAAGTCCTCAGTTATGACATGAGGGACTTGTAGTAACTGGCTGAGGAAATTTAGCCAGTTACCAGTTCAAACATGGCGCCAAAGGACACGGGTTCAAAATGAGCTGTCTGGTGCCTGTAATCACCCTGTAATAAATGTGTGGTCTTAGAAGCTGGCCCAAATACCAGTGTCAGTCAGTATGGTGACACTGATATACCCTGTGAAGGAAACCCTCATAACCAGTCTCTGCTGTACACACAGATCATCTCGTCACTACTAAATTCTCTTAACATCAAAAGAATGAAAGGTCTGAACTTTTCCCCACTGAAACCATCTTAACTGATGTTAAGAACAGCTCCATCTGTGCTGCATTGCTCTTTATAATAACAATCTTACTGTACCATCAGCACCTCGAACCGGAGGGAATACACTTACCTAGTGTACCGGTCACAGTTAGTAAAGAAATCCACTAGGCAAGCCAATAGGTAGGTCTCTGCAAAAAACAAAGCAAGATTTTAAAACAAGGATAACATCATATGGCCAGCTAACTTTAGGCCCTGTGCCCAAAAGAAGAAAGTTCATGTAAAAAAAAATAAGCAGATAAGTAGAGTACGACATTAGCAAAGGTTTACTGGCTTCAAAGGCACAGAAACAGGCCTGTGTTGGCTCACATTAGACTCACCTGGTAGATTGAATAATGTGTTCAGAATGTAAAACCTATCTGTGTCATCCCTCTGGATAAATTTGTTTGGATATTGATCCCGTGTTTCAGGCCTGAGAATAGATAAGGTGGAGAAGAATGAAACCACAAAAAATAATGAGGATAAAAATGTGCTGACCTGCAAAATATAGTTATAGTGGGGTCCATTAACTAGAATCTGTTGTGCCTTAATCAATACCCAGCTTTCCCACGTGCACTAGCAGCGCAAGAGCAAAACTGCATCCATCGGCGTTCCCTTCACCGTGCTGGCTCCGGCAGAGCTGGGCACAAAGCCCTCATCGCTGAGTCAGCGAACTGAGCAGAGCCCACACAGGGAAACAGAGCGGTCGAGAGTCCACAACTTGACCTTAAGCCCCGTGCTGCTGGCTATAAGGATGCCTTAAATCATCTGCACTTTCATTGTTTGCTTATCTTAAACTTTCCCCCACTTTCCATGTGTTGCTTTACACTCCCCCGAGCAGCTTGCAGCAGGGGAGTGCATGGCTGTGCTGCGGGAAGCTTGCCTGGGGCCCTCTGCAATTAATCAGCAGAGTGGTGATGACTGAAGTCATTTAATTATTCTGGTTTCCTTCGTTTCTGGAGCTTCTGAAGATCACCTCTGACTCAAAGAGGAACTTGAGTGCATATATAAGGGCTTTTTCTAAATTTTGGCTTCCTGATGCAACAACATAGAAGCCTGCAATGGCAAGGCTTGTCACCTTGGGGGCCCTGAGCTGGCCTGCGCTTGCCTTCCATCCATCCATGCTTGCAGCAGGGATAGGAGGGGATTTGCTGGGACACATCAGGCACATAGCACTGCTGTCCCCTCTGCTTCCTAAAGCACCTTCTCTGGGGCAAGAGAAACACAAGCAGACAGGGAAGGCTGCAGGAAATGGCACGCAATGCCTCACTTCTAACACCTTCAAAGGTCAGAAACACAAAGGGGTAGAGCAAGCTTGTTCCTTCCCCAAGCCGGCTCAGGCCCTTGAACCTTCTTAGCAATGGCTGTGGAGTTAAGTCTCACAGGGCACAGGTCCTCTCTGCTCCCTGCAGCCCTCACACAATGGCTTTGTCTTAGCTGACAAGCTGCTGATGTTAAACTGTGCCAGGACAGGTGAACAGCCCCTGGATTATCCCATCAACCCTTCCCACAGCACACTTTCTTCTACTCCCAGCACACTAGAGATATGCCTGTGCCAGCATGGATCTTTCCTCTATAAACACCCTGGGCTGTTGCTGTGTCTGGGACCCTCAATGCATCCCCAGTCAATCCTGGAGCTGCAGGAACACCAATATAGCACCTGCTGTTAGTGGAGTCCCCGCGACTCCTTATACAATGGGTGCCCTGAGGATCAGTGACACAAAAGAGCATATTACGTCAAAAAGAACAGCCAAGAGTCCGCACTCACCCTCTGAGGAAATTAAAGCCATGTGCACACACTAGGAGGTTCCCATAGGCATCAACTTTCAACAGGTTTCCATAGTGGGTATCAAACACCAGGCCTCTGTTAAGAAAGTGATTTAAGATATGAAGAAGCGAGCGTATTAAGCGGTGACCATTTTAATAGCAGTTCTTTCCAAATCAGCTCTCGGACAGCTTGCTCACTTGGTGTGGGGCATCAGAACAGAGTTGCTGTTATTATGCAGATGGGGTCCCTACCGTCCCTTTTACCTGGCTGCAGGTGAGCAACAAGAGCCCTGCATTGCCAGGTGAAAGGTACAGCTGATCTGCTCTCCATAGACTTGAAAACGGAATTGTTTAACCCGGCAGAGGCTTAGCTATGTACGTACCAGGCTTGTTGTTTACTGTCAGCTTAATTTTCAGGATGTCTTATGCACCAGGACACTATTAATTAAAATCATTAACGAAAAATGTTCTGAGACATTCTAGCAGCCTCATGGACAGTAACGGCTCCTTCACCCCTTGATTTTGATTTAACTCCCAATCCAATTGTGCCTCTGCTGTCTTTGCTTTGAAAGGTTATTTTTGGACCATGTTTTCAGCAGGCCTCTTTTCTTGCACACTCCCTCTTTGCTGGCATGGATTCATATGTGCAAAGGCCCTCCACATACTGGAGCAGTCTGCTCCCTTCCCCATGATCTGTGGTCAACCACAGGCTTCACAGGCACAACTCTGAAAACCTGGCCTCACGTGTTGCCTATGAACTTTACAGAACAAATATTCAAGGCCTCGAGCAGGCTGGGTCAGTATCTGTTAGTCATTTACCTGGTAGGGAATGCAGGATCATACACAAAATTGAGCAGCTCATGAGGGTATCCAATGGAAACTAATCTTTCTACGGTCAGGTCAAATCCAAGAGATTCGTATTCAGGGGATTTATACACTGTACCAAGATGAGATTTCAGTTAGAAAATTTGAAAACAGCTAGGGGGTTAAACAAGAAGGCAGTTAAAAGTAACGTACCCGTTCGCCCTCCTCCCTCCTCCACATCACACATTCCCTTCTTCGCTCCTGCCCTTCCCTGCCTCAGGTCCCCCAGCCCAGAGCCACGGTGCAATTAGCTCATGCTCCAGGACTACAGCAGAGCGGAGCCGCAGTTCAGGTTTCAGCAGCAGAGTGCACCAGATGAAATATCAATCAGTCTATCACAGCTCTCTGCATCAGGAAAGGTGTATTTCAAACCGCAGCTCCTCTCCCTGCAGTCCCGTTAGGCAGATGCATGAACGCTCCCTGTTCCACCTGCTCGGATCAGGTTTTGATTTGCTGTGTTTTCGCAAAGCTGATGAAGAAACCAATAAATTTTGGGAACACATGTATTCATGGTTAGAAAGCCTGAAATTCATCGCTGCTGTGCTACTGTTACTGCTCTGGATACAATCCCGAAGTTTAGTATTGTCTCCAGATTTCACCTCAGGGGAATTTATGTTTGCTGCAGACTAAGTTAGCTTGAAGGTAGAGCTGTCAAGTTAACATACGATTTGTTTGTTAATAATACCATATGGTACTGTAAAAATCTGTTAGTTATTACCCTTGTGCATCAAAATGTTACTCTTTTAAGCAAGCTTACTGTTCTCACATTTCAGAGGAGCTGCTCGTCTGTAACACACACCTTAGCTCAATGCAAAAGAAATGGACTTGTTCAACCAAATCATTCCTACCATCAGGCCTGTCTTCTTCCTGCAAGTGTCCAGTCCATGTACTGGAAATGTTACTGCTTAATCAGATCATTAAATTAACATTTAAAAGGAAATCACTGTGTTTCTATGACAGATGGAAATCACTGTGTTTCTGTGATGGTGTGTTTACGTTTGCTGCATGTCGCTGTCTTAAATTGGTCCTAAGATGTAACAAGGTCAAATACAACTCTTGACTGCAATGAGGGCTACCATGGGTTCAATGGGCCCAACTGTCTCAAACACTTGAGTATTTCAAATTCATCTGAGTAAAATACAAAAATGTGCAAGTTACACAGTAAGCTCGTTAGAAGACAGACTGCTTTTCCTGAGAGAGATCTAGCACATCTGTGGGCCTCACAATATATATTAATACACATTGTCTATACTGCCCAGGTAATCATCACCATATATGTATTGTGGAATACAGAAGCTCAATCTGAGATGAGAAAACAAATATATAACAACACTAGAAAAATACTACAAAGGCAAGGACTATAGAAGAAATAAGACTGTCAAAAGACTCAGATCATAGTAACCATGACAGAAGGCACCCGTATCTCTTAATAATCTAAAAAGCACCAGAATCCTAAGAGTTAATTCTGCCCATTAAACTAACACCATTAAAAATGTAATAAGCAAACCTGTAATGTTCTTAAACAGATAACTATAATCAATAAAACAGTTATAAAAATCTTCAAGCATTATTATACTGATGGCAAACATCAACAACATTCAATGCACGTAGTCTTTTCTGTCCTTTAGGAAAGGAAGGGTTGATTAAGCTATGGATAGGAATAAGCAATCAAAAACTACAGCTAATGAAGAAAGCAGTGACTGACAAGGCAATTCTGGGGAGTGAGCTAGAGTTGGAGGGAGCAAAAGGCAGTTAGGTGATGAACAACATTGTGAGAGTGACACCAGAGCATCATCTGGAAAAAGGAATTCCTCTGATGCAGGACAGTAAAGGCACTTCCCAGGGAAAATGGTAATAAATACACCTGCACATACTCTCAGAAGGTGAAGGTGCTGCAAAGCTCCCCGTTATGTAAAGCAGCCTCCAGTGCCCTGCTCTGTCCATGAAGCTGCTGCACTCCTCCTCATTAGCTTCCTGGGAATATGACCATGTTACCAACTTATCCATACAACATCACTCCCAAACAAAACATTTCTCCAAGAAACCCTTCTCTTTCAGAACTCACCAACCATGGTGATGCTGCCCAGACACAAAGAATCTCAAGGAGCACGTTGGCATCTCCTCTGGACAAGCAAAAGAGGTTCATAAACAGCTCCAGCAGAACCTTTCCAGGGAAGCTGTAGGGCTTTCTGTTAAACAACCTGTGCATCTTGTTAATACTCCAGCAGAGGATGGCTGTGGTGGGACATATGGCCAGCTGCTCACAAAATGCCCTCATTCAATTTCTTCCTTTCTGTATTTGTCTCTCTGTCTTAGATTTATCACTACAGATCTCCTTTTAACTCTCTGAGTCTAAGGAAACAAGCTGAAGCACCAGCAGAAAAAAGGCTGAAGAACAGGTATCAACCTCAGCCTTCATCATCCCAAGTCTCTGTTGAGGCAGTACTGCAACAGGATTAATCTGAATGTTTCTTTTGGGGCGGCAGTTATTCCCATTACCTATCAAGCTCTAGATTTTGCTTTCTTGACGTCTCTTTGAATAAAACTAAACTACTAGCTCATTCATGCCTCAGGTCCCTTCCCTATTTTCCTACCACTCCACAATATCTGGAAAATGAGAGCCTCCTCCTTGATACACAAACTAAAGAGAGACATGGGAAACTGGACTCCTGGAAATGGGAAAGGGACAATAAGCGTTCTCCAGTTACCATCATACTTACTGTTCAAGATAAACTTTCCTTTAATTAGACACACAGCTGGGAACAGACGGAGAGCTCACCAAGCCCACCCTGACAGCACCCTACACCACAGCACATGCTGCATCAATCGGTACGAGCCACAACCCACTGACATTTCTCGTAAGCTGTGCGAACGCCTGTTTCAGTAATATGAGCTTCCAGGCAAACAAACGATCCACCTCCTTCAGATCAAATATGAACAGGCTAACACTGCTGCAACTACGGCAGCACATTCAGGGAAGATGCCCCAGTTATATGCATTACTAGATGAAAAAATGTATTTCAATATTGTACTCAGGGCTGGTCACTCTCTCTCATATCTTTTTTACTTCAGGCATCCGTGGGGAAAAAGAGTAGAGAGGACAGATCAATATTTTTTTCTGCAGCTCCATGATGAAAAAATAGTTTTAAACTTTCCTGCAACATCCCCTTTCCTCAGACCTGGTTGCTGAGACCACAACTGTAGATAATTTGTGCGCCATGGTGATGCCATGAATTCAGCTATTTGCCATGCAATGTCTCCTGTACTCAGCTCTTTCACCCAGCTGAGAAGGGCCCCATCTTCAAGCATCCCCAACTCTATGACAGGTGAAGAGGCAGAGCCACGAACCCATTTTCAGAGCGTCCTTGCCCAACACACACAGGACGACAGTAAAACCAAAGCACATGCTACAACTTATTCTGATTTCTTTCTCTGTTTCTTACTACTTGATGGCCATGTCTCTGCCACCATACCAAGTCCCCAGCTCCTGAGGACCACGTTATTTTAATAGTCCGTGTTCCAACACAGGCAAATGCTTCAGCAGTGCAGGGCAATCGGCACCCAGCGCCAGTGGATTATGCAACCGGGGTGGAAAGAAAACAACCAAAGGTTTAAAAAAAACAGAAGCCAGTTGACAGCATTTCAGCCTCCCCTTAATACCATCACTTGACTTAACATTATACTATTGAAAGGTAAAAAGCAGTACTCCGGGAGTGAATGTTGCAAGCCTTCAGGTCTGTGATGAGTGCGGGCATCCCTTACACAGTACGTGCTAGGAGGAACGCCGATCTGGAACGAGCAGGGGTTGTGCAGTAAGGTATGCAATTCTCATGCATTTGTGTGGTTGTTTTTACCTTTGCTGCCAAGACACATACAGTAACAATTTTATAGCCTTCCTGAAAAGGAAAAAGAAAAAAAAAAAAAGAAAAAAAAAAAGAAAAAAAAAAAAGATCTCTACAGAGGCTCCAGCTTATGCAAAATGCTGCTGCCAGGATTTTAACTCACATGAGGCAGATGCAGATTCAGAGTGTCACTCCAGTCTTGACGGAGTTACACTGGGCTCCCCTGTTAAAGAAAAAAATCAGACTGATTTTAAAACTGCAACAGCTCTGTGCCATGTGGGACTGTATCTGCTGGAGCCCTGTCCTCTGGTAAGCTCAGAAGCCGGCCTGGCAGCTATTCCAAATACACTTACAACTGATTTATAGAGGAGGCACAGTTGGTAATCCTGCAATCTGCAGGCAAAATTCTGTCCTCATATCCACAAAGTAGTCTTAGATCATCAGTTCAGTGATAATTAGGAGGAAGAGGCTACAAGCACATTGCCCAAGTGACACAAACCCTTCGAGTTTCTCTCAGACATAGAGCAACCGGTTCAAGAAAGGGTCTTGTGCTCTTTTTGGGGCTTTGCCATTATTGTCCGTTCTTCAGTTGGTGACAGATTACTCCTTTCAAGGCGCTCACTTTCTTTCACACCACAAAAAGCCTGCACGTGTCAGCACAGGAGACTCGGGAGACTGAGTCAGTAGCTACTTCGGGAATCGAGAAGAGAATTTTGCCCTACATCTGAAGGCGCTCCCAGCAAGAGCCTCACACACGGGGTCAGTCTGACGTAGCACGTCTAAGTTCAATTGTATACTTTAACATGCTTACGCTTGGGCTTTTATGTGCAAAGCATTGCGGGATAAACCAGTACCAAACCTGCACATAGTGCTGCACCGAACTGCAGTGCACTGGTTTGCAAGCACACACAGTAAGAAGACCAGACCTATTCTGCAACTTACAGGTATGCACAGAGTAATCAGGAATGACTTTGAGATCCAACGTGCACTACATACAAAGCTGAATGAGTTGGAATGATATTGCAAAAAAGCACCCAGAAGTATGCAGACCTCCTGGAAGGGTTCTCTGAAAATAAGTGTTTAAATCCTGTTTTGTTTCAAAATGAATAGCTGGGGAAAGCTGTAGTGCATGTGATGGCTCTGTTTAAGCTGTGGGGAGGAGAAAGCCTTCCAAGGGCTGCCCATTTCTTTCCTTGCTTCTCCTCCACACACACAAAGATTTCAAATTCAG